CGTGTTGACCAGCTTGTTGACATTGGTCGATATCTTGAAATTTCATGCCCAGAGGCTCCACGAGTATAGGGTGTAGACTCAAGCTGATTTTCATGTGGACCAAACCACTCATCGTATTTTGATTTTACATATGAGTCAGACCTCACTTCTTGATTTGTATTTCACACTTCAGTGGCAGTTGTGGTTGACTGTGGCACCTCACATCAGTATTGTCAATGGCTCCATTTTCAGACGGAGAGAAATCAATTAAGTCCACCAAATCGGGGCATTTAATTTCTAAGGATTGGAATGACATTATTTATTTAATATCTCATTGTTCCTCAAAGCCATAATTCTGCGGGCGGTCACAGTACTGATAACTAGGTTCATAATCAGAACATACTCTTGACTCGGGTCAACTTTCACCTTGTGCTCACTCACTTAGAAAAAATAGCCTATATCTAAAGCTACTAACCACTATATAAATGAACAACACAAACACTAATGAAACAACAAATATTTGTTAATAAATTATCCGTATTACCAGCACTCTATTTGAAACACATCACAGAAATCGCTGCCGGTAATGATATCCAGTATAGTTGTTACCTGGTAATGAGGTACAATTAATATATCCTCCTAAACTATAGATTAAAGAATCCAAAGATACAGCTTCCTCCGCATCATTTCAAGATGCAATGAGATGTTTACCTCGAATTTGACAGCACCAGTCATCTTAGTACCAGAATCTTTGAGGAACGAGACGATTTCAATTTTGAAATGATAAATTTTCGTTACCTTAGCAGCAATATGCCAACTAGCTTTTACTTCATCCGCTCATGGAGTATACATTTTTCAACTCATCCGATATTCCAGAGCTTGTAGCTGCTACTCGGCCTTTGTAAAACGTCATCGGTGTCTGAGCAAAAAAATAATGAGCCAGAGTTTTGTTAATGAACGTCTCGTCCTTTTCTGAAAAAGTTCTCTGGAAAATACCAAGACCTAATAGATAAATATTCTGTGTCTACTTCACAAATGAAACAAGATGGTATTGACTTAAAATTTCTAGGTGCTGAGTGTGTATCTTTTTTTTTTTTTACTTTAGTTTCCCCGTTATTTGTCTTCGTGCTATTATGTTTATTTTGGTCGTATAACTTTTTACGTGACAGGATATCTATGCATCCCGCCATCGGGTTTTTGACTTTAAACTTTGGGCATTCCTGGGACAGGTGGGTCCTGATGTGCGATTCGGACACAAAGGGTTTTTACAGTGTTGTTTCTATTTTGTTTAACCTTGTATTTATATTTTCGCTTAATTTTTACCTTATCGAGAAAGTGTGTACTATATACGGTATTCACTATCAACGACAAAAACAATTTTTTGTTTGTGACGTCATTGTCTAATTTACGTCACTGGTGAGTCTTTTGTAGACGAAACGCGCGTCTGGCGTATTAGATTTATTTGTTTGTTTGTTCGAATTTTTTAATCAGTTGTATTGTATGTCTGTGATGTATGTTTACACAGTTTTGACTGCTGGATCACAATTATTGTCACATTCACTTATTATGTCTGTTTATGTTGCTTACCCAATTTTGTCAATAAAACGGAACTATAAACAACTATCATACAAGTGGGAGGTTTAGCTAGCTACACCTATGCGTAGGAACTAATTTGTTTTAAATATGTAGTACATTCAGTTTGTCCTTTTTGGCCGGGCCCGATTTGGCGGTTTTACATATTACAAAGTGTCATTTTGTGGAATATATTTTGATAATTAAGGTATCAACTGAAAGGTGAAGGACTAGTGATCCTTGTAGAACACATTTTGACTGATAATTTTGAATATTACAAAAATGTATAAATGGATTCTAAAATAGTGTCGATTTTAGTTGTTCTTCCTTATAACTCTATTTTGCATTTTTTGTGTGAGGAGTACACCCCTGAAAAACGTCCTCCATTTTTATATTAAATAAAACATCTTCTTTGATTTGTGTATTTAGTAGGGATAAAGTCTTTTTATTTTATTATCATTTACTACTGTATACTGATTGTTAAATATTGAAGCTCGTAACATTGACCCTTTCGTGACAACTGAAATAGTTCCATGACAGTTTCAACAATGTTCTGCACGGTAGTTTATTTATTTTATTGGGACGAATTTATATGTAGCCAATTTAATATAAGATATCTCTGTCCTTGCAACAAATCTAAAACAACCCATAGCGGATGATTTTAAAATAAAATATCGAATGGGACGTAATTATATGAAGCCAATATACTAAGTTTTGAATCATTTTATTTCAATAATATTTTCGAATTATTGCATGATTAAAAGATCTAATCATAATTATATTGATGTAAACAATAATGTAACACCTAACATAAACTGATCCCAAAATGTGCATGTAGAATTGACAAAATGTGTCATGCACTATGTCCTCAAAATTGAAATTCATATTTAATATAAAATATATATGGTCCTTGCAACATATATAAACAAAAAAACAACACACAAAACTTTATGATGATTCTTCATATACTATATAAAAAATACAGAGTTGACAACCAGAAATTCCAATACTTAATTATTGCCCATATAACTGTAAAATGAGATGCTACGTATCGTAAATGTTTTTGTTATGGTTCACCCTCTTTGTACTATGGGATTTGTAAAATTTCACGAGAAATATAATTTACAGCAATCTTACTTATATATTGCTTATTTAAGAAATGAATAATGAAAAATAAAAATAGACAGTTGTTTATGACCCTATTACTTACACAATTGCGAGAACACTATCGGTGTTCTGTTTTATTTTCAGCCTACATAGAAGATTTGGTGTCATGAAACGTTTCCAATCTTGTTAATCATCACTATGATCTGAAAATTTACAAAAGTTCTGGATAGGTCAATGGATATGTGGTTCAGTTGTCATTTGATATTAACTGGTCCAAAAAATATTTCACTGAACATTAACTTTATGAAAGGTACCATTTCTAGGTTAGGCTTGAACTGGATAACATTTGCCCGTTTTTTATGAATCATGTAGATGATATTTGCGTCTGGTGCACCAAATAATGAGCTTGGTATCTTTGACGAGTTTTTATATGTGGTTACCAAATAAGATTGTCTGCAATGTTTTACACACACCACTGCAGTGATCCCTTCTAGCTAGTTAAGGGAAACCATTACCTATCTTTTAGAGGGTAGTAAAATCCAAAAGATTTTTTTTTCATTTTAACAGTTATTCCTACGGGACGCATGGATGTGTCCCATAAGTTAAAAAGTATTTATTCAGGTTAACACTTTGTGTTCTTTTATTGGTAATTATAACATCTGTCAACCCTGGTATTGAGTTGCAAACTATTTATTACTGATAGCGTAGCTGGCAAAATGGTCAAGGCAATGGTAGCGTAACAGGCAAAACAGCTAAGGCACTGGCTTAAATATGGTAACGTAGCTGGCAAAATGGTCAAGGCAATGGTAGCGTAGCAGGCAAAACAGCTAAGGCACTGGCTTAAATATGGTAGCTCAGAAACTCATTAACATTGTTTTACTTATTACATGTACAACAGATAACAAGATTGAATTAAGCTTTACAATTTATTATATACAAAACATTCAATACTCTTACAAGTATAAATCATATCAAAACCCACCAAAGTACATTAGTTATAAAATATACAGAGACCCACTTTTTTGGTACTATAATCGTTTGTCAACATCGTAGTAAGCGTAGTAAAACATCTAGGTCAATCACGGTTTGGTCCATTTATCCAACGGGGATGCATACAATAGCAAAGGTACATGTATTTTACGGGTTGCATCGACTGCGGCGTATTTGGTTTGCTCTGGTTATTTCCTTGGTATCAGGAGTGAACGCCCTTGTAGCGGGCCGCAGTCTCCTTGAAGACTGGTGTGCACTCGTTTTTATACCTCTGTCCCACCAAAGTCTCGTGCCCATATGGTGAATGTGGAAAAATTACGTTATGCTGATTGGATGCTGATATCATGTCATTAGGTCACTGACGTCAATAAACCTACTGATACAAATGGCGGCGATTGCGAATGTCGACATTCTGTCAAGTCGGAAAATGGACAAACGGACTTAACTAAGTTTACTCTTAGCGTGTGTGGGCCCCGGTTACAATATTCAGGTCTTACGCAAATAAAATAACAAGGTAATAAAGCGGGAACGTGTGAGATAAGTGTAAACAGAAGATGGGCACCGTCGTTCAGTCATGGGACCCCCTCTGGCCAAACAGTGAAGACGAACTCTATATCTTTACTCTCAGAGACCTTACAAACAATATTTACATACAATAACAATAAAGGTATATGTAATGTTCATCAAATGTCTTTATATACGCGTTGGCTAACAGTAAACAACGAACGTGAAAGTAGAAGTGAGTGTTTACCGAGTAGCCCGAAAAAGTTGTTTGTATAAATCTACAGCTTACCTCCTAAACCGTAACATTATTATAGCATCATGTTCCTTTTAAAATCGTTCAGTCAGTTTTATCCATAAATTTCATGTTAGCAATACAGGCTACTTGGATTCCCATTGTGCTTATTTTCAATGACCATGAGTAACACATTAAGTTTCTTTAGCCTAAAGATTCATTACAAGCTATACTAGTATATGTTCCACAAACAGGGTCTCGTGACCTAGATTTTATTTCATGGTGTGGATCAGTGCTAACTTTTGCTGATTATGATTATGTTCTCAATAACCCTTAGTAAAATGAAAACTATATTTGGTCAGGTCTATAGAATCATTGTCAAATATCCATGACTGTCTAAACGAAAATTTGCATCTGGATGTTAAGAAGCCATCAATCAATCAATTAAATTATATACGTGTGGTGTTGCATTTGTTTGTCTCATAAATGCTTTGTGGTTTGCCCTGGAGCATAAAATTTACTTTCAATGTAAAAGTAGTTGGTTAATGCGGAATCTTTAAACTGTTATAAAATATTTTTCATTTCTCTAAATAAAGGTTATTATCTTAATTTTTAGTTTATTGTGGAATTATTACAAAGCATCATGTGGGATAATTCTAGATATTAGTACCAATAAGTAAGAAGTCGATTCTGGACGGCATTTAGACTGGAATAATAATAGAGCAATGAAGACAAGTGAAAATTAATTTCCGTTGGAACTATTAGACAACCAGATGTATAACCACGTGAACCTGTAGATACTTGGATTTCTAGACTGTACGAGAGAAAATTCCAAGTATCGTATTATACTTGAATAATCAAAAACTAAGAAAGGCAGTCCTGCTATTAAAGAATGCTTTTATTACCAGGAGGCCATGGGAACGATCCTGAGAGTCTTTAAACATTGGAAATATCCAAACAGTAAGGAAGAAAGTCAAAGGAATTGCTGGAATCAGCAGATGGCAAGAATGGAAGTCTTAGTTTGAGGAAATACTTGAATTAACATGCAACGAAAAAGATAATTCTCTGAACAGTAAAAACTTGAAAAGATGGACAGCAAGTAAAACAATTCTCAGTTTGTGGACAATTAAAAGACCATTCGTAGTAAAAATTGGAATAGCAAGGCATAAAGGCAGGCAAACGTAGGGACAAGTATGTGCTAAATTTAATCGAACCAAAGGATCTTGAATATCCGTAATTGCTTCCTGTACTAGACCAGAAGGAAACAATAATACAATTAAAAAACAGCTTCTAGATTAAGAAAAAATAGACAAGATGTCAATTGCCTATATATCACATGTTTCAGAGGAAGAAGAGAATTATTTGCGAATACATTTGTTGATGACTGGAATAGCTTCAAGGGCTGTACGAGTTTTATTTGATAAAGAATTTGTTCCTTCCTGTTTAGATGCTGCAATGAAAAAGGCATATGACAAACTACTTGACTTGAAAAAGAACCGAGTTATTAACGGAGCTCAATGGAAATTACTGTTTCCTCGTGTTGGTATGTATAAGATATTTTGAATACGGACGACCCAATGATCTAGTCTGCAACTTGTGCATTATCGTTTCTGATATTAATGTATTTCGTCCAAAGCAATCGTTCTTATAGGAGTTAATGTTTCTGAAATGTGTAAATTAATGAACGGACTGATTAAAGCTTCAAACTTTGCAAACTTTGTAAACATGTATTCTTTCTCAATGCACCAAAATTGTGCAGCTATCCTAAAATAGTTATCGGGGAGAAAACACATTTTAATAACGAAGAAATAGCTACCGAGTTTTCTTCATAACCACTGTTTTTCTTGTTGCTTTCCTTAATTCACCCTCAAAATATGGACAAAGTTTTTTTTATCTAAGCTATACAGCGACATCTTATATGATTTATTCCTCTTCACCTTTTCACTAGGCGACATGTTGAGGCACAATCACCAATGGTCTTTTGATTTTAGATTTTTTCACCATAACCGGAATATTGAGGTCAAGGTCATGCTTATAAATTTGACTTTGGTTTGTTCTTTTACCTTCTTTAACATAACAGTTGTTAATATGACTGCTGTTTTCCATTCGCTTGATGTGTTTGATCTTTTGATTTTGCCATTTGATAAAGGACTTTCTGTTTTGAATTTTTCTTGGAGTTCAGTAATTCGGTTATTTTACTTTTTAAAACTTTAAAAGATATACATGAAAGGAGGGTTGCACAATGTTTGGGAAATTGAGATACAGATTTGACACATTTGATTCATATCAATCATATGACTTCTTATAATAGTTATTGCCCCTGAAATGTTAGAATTAAGATTAATTATAACTTGAGCTTTTTATTTTGCCATTTGATAAAGGACTTTCCGTTTTGAATTTTCCTTGGAGTTCGGTATTTTCGTTATTTTACTTTTTGATACTTTAACATGATAAAGCCCAGGTGACTTCTATAAGGAATGGGAGGCATTTGACTTTGAAACAGGTAAACCACATGTGACCTTTGCAAACCGAAACTAATTTTGTTTTCAACGAAAGTCACTATTTTGAAACCGGTGAATCATAATTATCTCCTTTATTTCATAGAAAATTAGATTGACATTTTACATTTGTTATCAGTGTATCATTTGACCCTGGGAGCGACTTTTGTAAACCGGAATTCCCATATTATCTATTTTTAAAATCAGTGAGAAATAAGCTAGCATCTGATACTGAATGGTTAACTAGAAAATCGGAAATAACAATTTTTCTACGAGATTTTATTATACAAAATTGACCGAAGTGATCCGTTGAAATCTTACAGGACTTACATGTATTTCCCCTTGTTATTTCGCAGTATTCTGGTATAACTAATAAACCGTAAATACCAAGGATCTTTTGATTTCCTTTCCTTTGACCATTACTTGGAAATTGTAGTTAAGGTTACAGACAAGTTGATGTTCAAAGTTTTGACCTATGTTTGTTATCGCATCTGCATTTAATGTATCGATGAAAAATAAGGAAAAAAAGAATTGCAGCAAAACGTTGAGATTTATGTAGCATTTGGTCCGAAGTAATCCTAGGACATCTCAAAGACATCGGAGTTATTGCCCCTAAAATGTCTTAATTAAAGATACATTGAAAAGAGTGTAAGTCAAAGATCTATTGATTTTAACTTCAAACTGAAGATTGATAAAGCAATTAGCTAGTATTCTTACATAATGTTGGACTTCATATAAAATTTGCAAACCTAGAAGAAGGGCAAGCTGAAGTGACCTTGAACAAAGCATATAAAGATTTGCACTTATTTTAAGATGCAATTAAATATAATCAGTGAAAAGAAGGTAATATTATAACCTCCTGCAAAACAGTAGTTTCAGATGCTCAATGCTCAATCGATCGGGAAAACAAATCAGAGTAAAAAAAACAAACAGAGGGAGTCGCAAAATAAATGACAGAACGACCGCCATGCGAATTCACACTAAGTCAAAATGTCACATTTGGAAATAGGATAAGATCGGTGAAATTAAAGATCATACGATTATACTGGTATCTAAAGATCTAAGACTGCGAAAACATGTTGCTAGTGAGTAAAGATACAGACAAATCATATGTCAACCAATTCGTGATGGTTACCGTATAACCTATGAAGTATTAATTTCAGTCCAATTCAAATACGAAGTTGAACAATTTGAAAACCAAAAAATTAGAAAAAGTTGTTTTTACATTTTTTTTTAATTAATTTACTCTGCAATTTTTTTTTAATTAGGTCTATCCACCATTTTGATAATGTTCTTTCCCTCAATTTATTTCTTGATTTATTTTTCGTTTCGCTAGATATCGCTTACATATTTTGTAGATGACATCGAACAATTTATATGCTTTTGAAACTGCCACCACTTTACCGAAGACTTTCCTTTGTAATTGTTATTTCCTAAAACACTGTTTATTAATACTTTATAACCGTAAAAGGTATCGATAAAATTATTTTCAGAAATTGTTCGTGTCAACGTCAAGATGTTAAACAAACTTTATTTTCCATATGAGAGTTATTTACTTCTATACTTTTATGTATTTAAAACAAGTTAGATATAATTGTAGATCGTAAACAGCAGGTGATAGAGACATATAGTCATTTGAGTTGATATCCTTGGTTCACCTAAAAGAAAGTAAGGTCATGTTCAAAGGTCAAGGTCATGTTCTAATGTTATCGCTACTTCTCAGGAACCGTAATGGCTTTCAACAACAGATTTTTATTCAACTGTTAGATGTTACATTTTGTAAACTGGAATATGACCAATGTCTACTTTATTCCATAAAGAAGTACATCCGGACCATACAATTGTGAAATAATTGTTCAGTAAGCTATCATTGTTGAATAGTAATGCTGATTTTCCTGACAGTAATAAACATTTTCTATGGAGGATCCAAATTTTGATAAACAGTTTTGTATTCAATCTTTTCAACATACAGCCATCAAATTTTCTGAAAAGTTTAAAAACATATATTTTCTTTATGCATATAGTTGGATAAGGTCAACTTTCCTTGATATAGGTTTTCTGCTTGCAAGGAAACTATAATCTCAAGAGTGCTTAGTGGTGAAGTTGTTGAAAAAGGAAAATGTTGACCGTTATGGAATATCTGTTTCAAAGACCAAGACGAATTTGTTCCAATTGTCGTAACCACAATCCCATCTTCTTGTCCTCCAATGTGATATCACCGAATTCAACTTATCGACAAATTTGTACTTGACAAACACGATGGGCAGGTGCCATGCTTGGAGCATGACTGATTCTTCCGGAGCATTTGAGATTTCCCAGATTTTCGTTGCGGTTCGTGTTACTTTATCTTTAGTTTAATTTGTAGACCTCTGTTTGTATTTTGGTCGCTTTTCTTTTTATAATCTCCCATAGCGTTGTAAGTTTGTCTTCGACGTATGAGTTTGAATATCCCTTTGGTGTCTCCCCCTTTCTTTTATCCTGATATTAAAGGCTTTCATATTAGTGTGCATCTCAAATTGATCGACACAATTTCGAATGTTAATAGATTGAAATACTAATACAAGGATCATACTAAAATTTGTGTTACAGGTGTCCCCGACTCTAAAACGTTTGATGTCACATTAATGGTGGCATTACTCAGGAATCTAACAGAATTACCTCCACCTATATCCGGATATGACCACTTACCATTAAGTACAGATACTACACCTATGGCTGACCTGGTAAGAATCAAACACTACAGAAACCGCCTTGCTCATTTTGAAGACGGAAAGATCAAATCTACAGTCTTTATCACTGCATGGGAAGATATCAGTGGGGTAAGAATATACTGTTAAGTTGTTAGTTGTGTATACCTTCGGGTAAGTATCAGCTTGAAAAACAATTGGTAAGAATATAAATATAACAACATTTATTTAGGTCAACTTACCGAAGGTCCTATGAGCTTTTGCAATCGCCTATCCTCCGTTGTCTGTATTCAATCGTCTGTATATCATCTTTCCTGAATTTATCAAAGATCTTCTCCTCTGACGTCACTAAACGAATTGATATAAACCTTGACATAATTGACTCTAAGGATTTCTCAATTTAGGTTTGTTGATTTTATTTAGATCCATAAACTAACATATACAGCAATAATCAGTTGCTAACAAGGTTCATGTACGGCACACGCAAAAGTTGTAAGCTTGTAGTTCGTAATTATTTTCTCTGTATTAGATGAAAGCCATGTCACCTGAACTTTTCCTATCAGGTATCAACACCAATGCTAAAGAGAAGCGCCTCTTGTTTGTACTGAATGTATACATACTCAGCCACATCAGATCGGTATGGGGACTTTGCATCTGATGCTTCTTGTAGCGAGTTTCAAGCTCTCTACATTCTAAATACTTTTGCAATAAAACTTTGAATGGTTCATAATTATTTTGCCCTTTAAAAGGAAACGTTACCCCTATCTTATATACCCTAGTGTCCGCTAGCAATTCAAATGTCTGACACCTTATCCTAGTCGAAAAATTCAGAAAAACCTACCTTGTATTAATTGTATCTATTTTTTCCCGTCCAGAATATGCATGAGATACTTGCTACTTGACGTGATGAAAGTAACAAGAATAATCAGCTGATTAAAAGATGTTGTACCAACTGATAATACTGAGTTGACAAGCCATAAATCTTGATTATCATCAAAAGTTTGTTTCGCTCATTGAGATTTAAAAAAAACCCCAGTTTTACCAGGTTTTACAGCAAGGTATGTTAAACCTGAATAATTTAAACGCTTTGTCCTCCAGAAACAAAGTATTTAGTTTCCAAAACACGAATGAAAAAAAGAGTAGCCACGTTAATCTTTGTTCAACTATACCTGTACGGAAAAAGTCAGCGTGGTGATCATGCCCCCGCGTGATCATACTTTCTTACTCTTCTTTCTCTCCTATTTCATTATTTTCCCGAGTATCCAGTTATCTTCTCTGTCTTTATGTTCGTGAAATCAAGGGAGTTATTGCCTTTAAATTAAGGATGGCAACAAGTACTTGAATACGCAAGCATCTATCGATAGTATCAAGTATCAAATACCAAAATGATGATCGACTAATAGGTTTCCTGTTATGAAATTGTCTCTTTCTCCATAAAGTTTACTTTCTTGTAAATGGTCCTCGTAGAATTAATAGTTATCGCTAATTAGTTATAGCTTACACAAGCTTCGTTTATTTAACATGTGATCATTTGTTGTTAAAAATATCACGGAATACTTGTGTTTGGAATTACAAGGGAAGTCCCGATAGATATCATGTAAACTAAAAGGATACACACGAGAGCAGCTTAAATGGGCCTACTTAGAGGGGTATACGCAATTTCCGCTTGGTCAGAAACACCAGAGTGAAAATTCTTGTCTGCCATCCTGTTAATTGTAACGTCGCTATCCCGAATCCTTCTGAAATAGTTTGCTAGAGAAAAAGGAACAAATTTGTAGCTCGCTGTGGTGGCCTCAATGGACGTTTAAACGCATCACAAAACGTAACTGTTGCTTGATCAGGTTTAACTTTGTGCTTTGTACGAAATAACTTGCTACCCTCATGAATTATAGTCATTTCGTACCTAACCATTTCGCACCCCAACCCCTAACACCCCCCTCTTTTATATCGTACCTCATGGAAGATTTGTATGATTACCATTTCGTACCTCATGGAAGTTCTGTATGTATGCCATTTCGTACCTCGTAGAAGATTTATATGGGCGGTAGAGGTCACAAGAAATGCTTAAAATTTAAAATTGGAGCACCTATGAGACAATGTATAGGAATAAAGTCAATAAACGAAATTTTTTGAAATCTGTAAAACTTTGTATTTAAGATATTTATTTCAAATATTAGCTACCGCTTTAGTAACAGTTCACATTTCTGCCGATAACACTGATTTTGTTACTTTGGTATAAACTTGTGACTTAAGGCACGCGCCGTACTGGCGTACTGTTTTAAAAAGGAAGCATTCTAATCAATTGGGTTAAAAATGTTTATTGAATACACATGCCATTTGAAATTGCGACGTGTGCCTAAATATTGAGATATATTCAATTGACTATCGTAAGATGTAGTTGAACCTAAATGTATATATCATATGCATGGATTTTTTCAAAATTATAATACATTTACAAAATATGCAATACACACTAAAAAAGATATTTACTAAAAGTTTTTGAAATTTGAAAGGTTAGATATAAAGAAACAAATAAATGAACTTGTAATTTCTCAAATTGAAAAAAAAACATAGCAAGTTCTTGGATTGGTCACATTAGGTGCAAATTCGTATGCAAACATTTTTATTCATGGCTTCCTTCTTGGGTGAATATCAGCTTGTGTCCCTTTTCACTACATTTCCTGACAAAAACAACTGTTAATAACTATAAAAACAGTTGCAGACAATTATTCCTTTGTTGGTTAATTAACCTCATATTTTTAGAGTAGAAACAATTTATTAAGGATAAATCCTGCAAACAAACAAAGTGTAATTAAAACTATTAAAGTTTCCAAGTGCTGTTTAATCTGTTAATCAAAACAATTTATTTATGTTATATACAGAAAATAATAAAATCATCTCAAAATGTTTTATATCTTAACAAAATGATAACTTTTACAAATATATGATACGAAATAATAAACTTGTATTTAGTCCATGAGGTACGAAATGGCAAATGCATTTGGCCCATAGGGTACGAAATGGTAAATTTTGGGTACGCAATTGTAATTTTGGGTACGAAATGGCAGAGGTACAAAATGGTCAAGGTACGAAATGACTTGCTATCCTCATTTATATGTAATAGATTTTTTTGTTGTATAGGTTATTGTTTACTTAATTAATACGTGTAGTAAATGAGCTATCAATTATGGTATTTATTTCATTTGACTAATATCTAGTACAAGATAACAAGGAAAAGGGTTAAACGTTCATTAGACACTCTTAAAACGTTAAATGTCCATAATTGATTTACTATTTTGTACATATTTTTCGAAGCGAGTACTCGATTATTAATTCCTCAGGATGTCATCCTACTAAAATGTTAACTTTTGACCATTTTTCTTTTTTAGTATCGGACAGGAAAGCTATAATATATTGATTTTTATTATGAAAACTGTAATATATCAATTTTTATCATAAACACTAGAATATAACAGGTGTATAAGGAGAGAAACTGTAAACTGCACGAACTAACGGCCATATACGATCTATTGAAATTAAAAAAAAATAAACCCTCAACTGCCTGCTCAAAGACATTTTTCTACAATGCCAAAATGATCGAAAGCATTAATTTAACCCTTCTACATGTTCTAGTGGTTTCTTATTTTTACTGATGTTTGACCAATTCTCGCAGAAATGTGCTTGAATTGTAAAAACTGTTACTTTTCTTCTCCAGCAAAATTGGTGAACAACTCCTCATAACAGTTATTGTCATTAAAAAGTAAAATAACAAAAACACCGAACTTAAAGAAAAATTCAAAACGGAAAGTCCTTTATCAAATGGCAAAATCAAAAGCTGAAACACATCAAGCGAATGGAAAACACCTGTCATATTCCTGACGTCTCTTGAACAATTGTTAAGCAAACATTACATGAATACTCTGATTGAAAGACAAAACGATCATCAATTTGAAATATACAAGAAATGCAATGTGTATGAACCAATAATTTGACTACTTCAATTGCCCTTCAACAGCAATATTTCACTTATCTAAATGATTTTGTCTATTGTTTTAAAAATTATAATTGATTGGCCATAATTGTAAACAGCAAATAAGATTATCTATACATGATCTGCAAAAATGACAATATGATTTCTAATACGATTTTTTGTCCCTCAACATGTTGAATACGTTATTTTTATACCATTTTAGCATATTCTCATATTGTCTTGCAAACTGTAAGATAGACAGAAACTGGTAAGACCAATATAAAATCTACTAAGAAACTAATATGAAAGAACCAAGAATGACTCTCATAAGAGTTAAGTGTGATTAAATAAAACATTTTACCAATTGTAGCATTTTCGCCTATCATCCTTAAAATTATTATTAATATACATCAACAGTTTACATAAAAATGAAAGAAAAGTAAAAAAAAAAAACAACATACAAACATACAAACAACCAAATGCCGTTTTACTGTTTACTATGGAACGCCACAGCTGTCTTATGTGGTACTCTGATATTACGTTATGTTGTTTTATTATTACTTGATGATATTTTGTCTTACATAATATGGTTTTGACATTACGTAATGATGTTTTGATAATACTCAATATGGAATAGTCATTACTTAATATGGTTTTGACATTACTCGATGTGGTTTCATCATTATTTAATGTGGTTGTGTCATTAGGCAATGTGATTTTAACATTATTTGATGTGTATGTGGCTTAACGTAATGTAGTTGTTTCATTACATGATGTGGTTTTGTTATTTCGTAATGATGATTTGCCAATTCCTTATATGGTTTAAAAATTACATAATGATGTTTCAAAATTTGACGATTTTACACTACATGATGTGTTCGTTCCAGTATTTGATGTGGTCTTGTCATTCTTTGATGTGGGTATCACATTGCTTGATGAGATAAAACCACGTGACTATTTGATTAAAACTAGTTCTATTTTTAAAACCGATTTCCATGTTTTATTTGCCTCGGATGAGTATGGCAATCCATCGAGTTAGAGTTCAAATTTAAGTTCGGGTTGCTGTTCGAATTAATCTTCGAGTTAGTCTTCGATTTAAACTTCGAGTAATTTTCGATTTCGAGTAAGAATTCAGGTCATAATTAAACTGAATTAAAGTTCGAGTTGAACTTCGAGTTTGAGTTACCTTTTTAGATAGAGTTCGAGTTAGACTTCGAATTTGAGTCTCATTTAGATTAAGATTTCGTTAAAGAAATTTAGATAAGACGAGTTAACATTTGGAGTTATCTAATATGAGTTCATATTTAAATTGTCTATCGCGGATCAAGGGCTTTAGCTAAGGCTTCCGAAAAAAAGTGTTAAGGGGTATGCGTACAAAAGATAAAACATATTACACTAAACAAAACACCACATAGAGATCGAAATAAAGTTAGATATTGTGTGATTGCTAATGAGACAACTATCCACCAGAGTTTAAATACCGTGGATGTAAGCAATTATAGGCACCCGTAACTTATAACTAAACAACTTACGAAAAAACAAATATGACTCACATGAAACAACGACAACCATTGAATTACAGGCTCCTGACTTGGGACGAAACATCCAAGAATGTGTACGTGGCGAAGTTTAACATGTCTGTGAGCGCTAAACCCTAACCCTACCATGGGTGAATAGTGTAACAGCACAACAAAAAATGACATGTAATGAACAGCTGCGCCATGAGCGCATGATACGCCCGTCATTTTTTCAATGAATAAAGTTCAATAACTTCTCAATGTTATATCAGAAACTTATGAAAAACTAAAGGGAGGTTATCTTAATAGATATAAACAGTCACCAAAATACATTGAAGATAATGTCCGAAAACTGGAAAATCACCCATTTTTTATGAATAATATCCCATAACTCGGAAATGTAAATTCTAAAATTTATAAAAATTGAAATAAAGCTTGCGTCAATAGATATAAACAATTCACCAAAGTTTCGTGAAAACTTCTGAAAGCGTTTTTATGTTATTGTCCGAAAACTGGAAAATCCCCCTTTTTTTAATGAATAAAACCATATAACTCGGAAACGTAAAATCTCAGATTCATAAAAATCAAAAGGGAGCTCACGTCGATAGATATAAACAATTCACCAAAGTTTCTTGCAAAGGACCACATCAAATACAGGAACAAACACATCATGTTGTGTAAAATCGTCAAATTTTGATCAATCATTATGTAATGTTAAAGCCATATGAAGAATTGGCAAATCATCATTAAAAAATAACAAAACCACAACATATAATAAAACAAATACATAACGTTAAGCCACATACACATCAAGTAATGTTTATAAAACCACATTGCCTAATGACACAACCATATTAAATAAATATGAAATCACATCGAGTTATGACAAAACCATATTAAGTAATGAAAAAACCATATCAAGTCAATACGAAACCATATCATGTAAAATCGAAATATCATTAAGTAATGACTATTCCATATTGAGTTATATCAAAACATCATTACGTAATGTCAAAACCATATTATGTAAAGACAAAATATCATCAAGTAATAATAAAACAACATAACGTAATATCAGAATACCACATAAGACAGCTGTGGCGTTTCATAGTTTACTGGAGTTATTCTCCTTAAATGACAAATTGTACATAATATTTGCGTTTTAAGTTCAAAGGTCTTTATCCCTTTAAAAACTGAACAAATTTGAACCAAACTAACTATGAGTTATGCTAGGTATGTGTATATTTAATATTGTAACTTATCAAACGACCTATCAACCAAACCAACATGATTAACAATGGAACGTAGTGATTAAATGCAAATACATAATTTTATATAAAATAAAACATGAACTGAAAGGGAAAATCTGACAGTAGCAAAAGTGCTTAGAACTTGAAGATGATTTGTAAATTCAAAAATGTTTAAAGACGATCCCTTTTTGCTACACTCAAATTATAAGGATAATATGTATGAACTTTTCATATTTTGTGGAGTATCCTCAGAACAGAAGTAGATAGAGAAAAAACTGTAAACGCCAACATTGATGAACAGGCAAATAGGTTTGATAGTTGTCGATAGTTGTCGGAATTATGATGGCTGTATAGGAGAGAACAATTTCAAAGGAAAGAAATGGTGCGGGCGGACAACTTTCAAAGACTTATTCTTACATAATGAGCCATTCATGATCTTTGTAGCCTCTTTTACCGACCGAGTCTACATAATAACATTGTATATAGTTTCTTACTCGTCCGTCCGTCAGTCAGTCCATCCTTGTGTGTTAAGGTTTTCCTTCTACATGTTCTAGAATTAACAAGTTGAATAGGTCGGACTTTTTAAAATCACAAGCGTGAAAACCGGAAAATATCGTGTGTTCACTTAATCCGATTTCGATATAATACATTTCGCAATAGGGCATGTCCAGTATTTGTTATCTGAATTTGTCCAAGTAGAAAACACACTTTATTCTTAGACGGCCATGTTGATCTTTGCATCATATAAAAAGTCTTAACCTAACAAATGTTTAATCTTGTAAAGAGTTTATGTTATTCTCAAGATACTTTATTTTTGAAAATTCAGTATTTTCAAACATTTGGATTGCAGTCAATTCAATAATGTGTTCGACCTTTTCAGATAGGGCCATACGGTTTTATTACATACAGATAATAACAAATAATGAACAGTGACTTAACTTATCTTAATTGACTGTAAGCAAATTGCCTGAACAGTACTAACTTACCGCAGTAGATAATTCTAATAATTGACTGACAAACTGAACATGACATCATGATTTAATGTTCAGTCTTTTGAGACCTGTTCAGATAGCTGTTTCAGTTGAACAATGGTGTATTAGCGATAGTGATCGATCAATTACTATTTCTGAATTATACACAGTAATTGGTTTATGGTACAATCATTTCTGTATTAATTGTTTTGATGTTCAGAATTATATGCTGTTCTTGTTGATCTCATAAGTGGTGCAAATGGCAACTTGTGTATAGACTGTTGAATTCGAATAATATGATTAACACCGGTTAATGTATTAATTTTAATAGGCTGTGAAGAGACTTGGTGGTCAAGATATGGATGACGAATGTAACGAGCTAAGATCAAAACATTTAGACCAATCGACAGTACCTTGGAATATTAGAGGTAATATCTTGGACAAAACACTTTAGCATGAAGTGTAAGTGATATAATACTTATATCATATATTTTTTTTTAAATCTTCAAAGATATATACTTAACCTGAGTACCATAAATTATTTGACCTTATAATATGCAACAAAATTACTAATCATGCACTGCGAGTAATGTTTGATTTTCACTATTTGTTGTAAAATGTGATACAGAGTGCTGTGCAAGTTAAGTTGGAATTGGATTAAGACATATATATCTCAATAACATTACAGTACTACCTACCCTGAAATGATGGTCAACCAGAAATATCAGTGACAGCCAAAATTTTAGATCAATAATCACCGAATAAAATATTTGTTTGCAGTTTATACATTATAGATTCATAACTAATGTAAACAAAAACGTGCACAGAGGACAAAGTTTTTTTCAGAATCAGTTCATATTATCTTCTCTCAACGTTGTAACAGTTTTCCCTTAGCATCCGGTCTAGCTCCTTTTCGAGTTCATAGATATGCTTCGGTTTTTCTTTATTGCGTTAAGTTGTCTTCTTTGTCGATTTAAGAGACTTGAACATAAGTAAACTACTGTTGCCTTCGTTTAGTATGCATGCTAGGATCGGTTCAATAATTCCTTAACATAATAACCACCACAACCTCGTTTCTTATGATTTTAAGACATACCTCTGTGAACAAATTATGCATAAAATGATAGAAAAAAAAACATTTCATAAAACATAGCAAAACACTTCAACATGATGAGATAAGTAATATTGTCATAAAATCCGGTAAACTGAACTATCTCAGACATTTAATAAACTCATCATAAATACAAGGATTAAACAAACTATTCATATCATGTTAGTTAGTTTATGGCTTTATCCTTAAGTCTAGGCCAGCGTCAGGACACAGTTGGTCACTTTGATTTTGGTTTCAGATTTAGTTTCAAGCTCTTATTTTGTACATAAAAGAATCGTTAAAACTAATGTGTGGATACATCCGGAAGTGCAGATCTGCATTCAAACTTTAGAAAGCCATTGCGTCTTAAGTTTTCCGCTTCAATTAATTTTGGGTAAGATGCATTGCGATTCTGAAACTAATCACTTGTCATTAAGAAATGTTGTTAGGTCATTCAATTTTTAAGTATCTGCTTGAAAGTTACTGGCATATATATTTAAACACAATGTGCAAAATGTAAGCATATTTACATGCATAGATAACAATGTTTTAACAATTTCGTTTAAAATTTTGAGATATCGTCGTGTGAATCTTATAGTGTTTTATGTCCACTTTTGATGAAAAAATGGAGATAGCTATATTTGATATCCAAGTGCAATGGTATATTTCCCTGTACAACTATATAATACGAGATGTCTACACTCTACGATTGTTTTGTCGGAACTACACTGTTCTATCTCCACACTCCCATTGGTTTATTCATCTAGTTAGTTCAGAGAAAAATATTTCTATAGTGTTGTATCTCCACAATTTTTCAGATATTTTTGCTGTAAGATAACTGTTATCAAAATTATCTTGATAGTATTATGCTTAAATTGTGTGCCTGGTTTGAACTCAATCTATGAGCAATTCTTAGTAAATCCAGCAGTCCAGAATTGGGGATATTACACAGTTAAGTAATCCATGGTCTATCTCAAATAGAAATATAGGGATAACTTTCTAAAACAACATTGTTTGTACTGTTGTGTTCTATCTCCAGAAAAGGGGATGGTACATTTATCTAAGTTGCTTGTCTATTAAAACAAAACAATCGAACAAAGAGTTACTCTACATGTACGTTAATTCGATTCCTATTTATTTTTGTATGTCTCAGTCAAATGTATATGATATTGAGCTTTTAACCATTTCACCACTATAACCAAATGAGAAATTCATCATTATAAGATTCACACGACGATATTCTTTTCAGGTAAAATATCGGAAGTCTTTTTCTTTAAAACAAAAACCTGACAGCATTAGTGTCAAACAATTCAAACATCTTAACCATGCCGTGTATCTTGTGTTTGAAGGCTGCATTTATGGTTATTTTTGATGAGTTATGCACACATGAATCACTTTGTAGGATTTACATTTTCCTGTGTATTTTGATAAAAGTTCCCAAAGCTTTGAAATGCATCTTTTCAGAAAAACACATAGTTAATTTTTCTCATTGATTTAATGGTATCTCAATTGCATGTTATCCTCTGGATTTTGATTTACAATATCTCCTTTTGTTTCAGTATGATTCAAAACATGGTCTGTTTGAGAGAATGAAGGAAACTATTTGAATATTAACTTAGAAATCATTTTCATGTTTCTGATATTTTCGAAATGACCAAATTTGAATGTAATTGATTTATTCATATTTCAGTTCAATTCATTCAGATATTGGATCAGTGGCAGAAGAATGATATCAACTTTGTAGAGACTAATGCTGCAAAACATGTGCTTGAATGTATCCAGGAAAATAGTTGTGTCACAATTACAGCTAGTTCTGGTGTTGGGAAAACAGCAACCCTCCAACATGTGGTGTTGAAAATGGCAGATGACGGGTATGATGTACTACTTATAACCAATCCACATGACATTGTTAAGTTTTATAATCCAAATCAGAAAACTTTGTTTGTTATTGATAACTTTTGTGGAACATATTCTATCAACCAGTCTGACCTAAACAATTGGGAACCAGTTATGACGCATATTGAAGGACTAATTCATGAATCACTCATAAAAATTATTGTGGCCTGTAGAATACAAGTATACAACGATAACAAATTTAAATCGTTGTCTATTTTCAAAACCAACGTATGCAACTTGTTATCAGAAGATTTACGCTTGTCTCAGGCTGAAAAGAAGTCAATAGCAGAAATGTACCTTGACACAGAAGCTACAGAGATTATCCAATATAGTGATTTATATGAATGTTTCCCTCTTCTCTGTAAACTTTATCGTGAAAACACTAACCTCAATATTACAGATTTCTTCCGGAATCCATTTTCAGTGTATGAAGCAGAAATTGAACAGCTCAAACAGAAAGATTTTTTTGGTAAATACTGTGCTCTGGCGTTGTGTGTCATGTTCAATAACAGATTGAAGGAGGAAGTGTTAACAGAGGAGATCGATAAAGAAACAAAAAAGATCATAAAGAGAACGTGTGAGGCATGCAGATTAGATAGAAGTACATCAAGATTAATCTTATTGGATGAACTTGATTCACTTGCATATACTTTTTTGAAAAAAGAAGATGGCGTTTACAAAACTATACATGATAAACTATTCGACTTTTTATCTTATTATTTTGGGAAACTAATAATACAATGTTTGATTAAGAATGCACACAGTTGTTTTGTCAGCGAACGATTTTTATTAGAAAAAGAAGAAGACATGGACCAGTTTATCACTGTTGTACCACCTAAATACCATCAGATGTACATACAACGAATGATTGATGACTGGTCTAATGGTAAACTTTTAACAGTGTTCTCTAATAAAAATATTGACAAACCAGTTTTCAGACACAGATTACTGTGTTTTGTGAAAAAACTTGATATGTCATACCAGAGACAATTAGCCCAAACTAATGACATCGTACAAAAAAATAATGCATTGTTACATTGTTGTTTTACATGTGACTTTCCTTTAATTCAGTGGTGTTGCTATCATGGTGTAGATGTTAACCAATGTCGATTGGATGGTGTAAGTCCTGTATTTGTTTCATCACAGAAAGGTGATATTGAAGCAGTGAAGATGTTATTGGAAAACAAGGCAGACGTTAATAAATGTAAAGACAGTGACGTATCACCTCTTTTTATGGCTTGTCAGAAGAATCATATAGAAATCGTACAACTGTTACTTGAATACAAGGCAGACGTTAATATATGTATAGATAGTGACGTAACTCCCCTGTTTATGGCTTGTCAGAAGAATCATATAGAAATAGTAAAGATGCTACTTCAATACAGGTCAGACGTTAACAAATGTAAAGAAAGTGACGTATCTCCCCTGTTTATGGCGTGTCAGAAGAGTCATATAGAAATCGTACAACTGTTACTTGAATACAAGGCAGACGTTAATATATGTATAGATAGTGACGTAACTCCCCTGTTTATGGCTTGTCAGAAGAATCATATAGAAATAGTAAAGATGCTACTTCAATACAGGTCAGACGTTAACAAATGTAAAGACAGTGACGTATCTCCCCTGTTAATGGCGTGTCAGAAGAATCATATAGAAATTGTACACCTGTTACTTGCATACAAGGCAGACGTTAATATATGTACATATAGTGACGTATCTCCCCTGTTGATTGCTTGTCATGGGAATCATATAGAAATAGTAAAGTTGTTACTTGAATACAAGGCAGACGTTAATATATGTAAAGATGGTAAATTGTCTCCCCTGTTTATGGCTTGTCAGGAGAATCATATAGAAATAGCAAAGCTATTACTTGAAAACAAGGCAGACGTTAATATATGTACCGATAGTGACGTATCTCCCCTGTTTATTGCTTGTCAGAAGAATCATATAGAAATAGTAAAGTTGTTACTTGAATACAAGGCAGACGTTAATATATGTAAAAATGGTGAATTGTCTCCTCTGTATATAGCTTGTCAAGAGAATCATGTAGAAATCGTAAACCTGTTACTTGAATAAAAGGCCGACGTTAATAAATATGTAAAAATAATAATGTATCTCCCTTGTTTATGGCTTGTCAGGAGAATCATAAAGAAAACGTAAACCTGTTACTTAGATACAAGGCAGACGTCAATATCTGTAAAGATAGTGACGTATCTCCCCTGTTTATGGCTTGTCAGAAGAATCATATAAAAATCGTAAACCTGTAACTTGCATACAAGGCAGACGTTAATATATGTAAAGATAGTGACGTATCTCCCCTGTTTATGGCTTGTCAGAAGAATCATATAGAAATCGTAAACCTGTTACTTGAATACAAGGCAGACGTTAATATGTGTACAGATAGTGACGTACCTCCCCCGTTTATAGCTTGTCAAGAGAATCATATAGAAATCGCAAACCTATTACTTGAATACAAATAAAGGCATTATAGTAGTATACCGATGTTCAATAGTCATAAATTGATTTAACTGAAATAAATCCGGGTAACTTTGTAAAAACAAATAAATCCTGTGTATAGTTGCTTTATACTAAAAAATTATATAAATGAACTAGGTGATTAAGGCAGACGTTAATATATGTACAGATAGTGACGTATCTCCCCTGTTTATGGCTTGTCAGGAGAATCATATAGAAATCGTAAACCTGTTACTTGAACACAAGGCAGACGTTACTATATGTAAAGATAGTGACGTATCTCCCCTGTTTATGGCTTGTCAGGAGAATCATAAAGATATCATACAGATTCGGAAACTTGTTACTGGAAAAATAGGCAGACGTTAATATATGTAAAGATAGTGACGTATTTTTCCTGTTGGTGGCTTGTCAGGAGAATCATATAGAAATCGTAAACCTGTTGCTTGAATACAATGCAGACGTTAATAAATGTAAAGATTGTGAATTGTCTCCCCTGTTTATAACTTGTTATGAGAATCATGTAGAGATAGTAAAGCTGTTACTGGACAACAAAGCTGACATTAGTAAATGTAGAAATTATGAAACATCCCCCCTAGTTATGGTTCGTCTGAGAGGATCTCTGAATATAGTAAAGATGTTATTGAACAGCAAGGCAGACGTTAATAACTGCAGAAAAAATGGAGAATCGTCAATCTTTATTGCGTCTGTCTATGGTTACACAGATATAGTCAAAATGTGATTGGTAAAAGGAGCAGATTACAATAAATGTACCAGTGATAGTACATCCCTCTTATCACCCAAATTAATTGCAGTTGAGAAAGGTTACAATGATATAGTGACATTAAAATTTGAACAGTTCGCACAAAATCAGTTTATAATAGAAAGCAATGCCATAACAATGGTAGTATATTGTCTAAGCTTCCGTAAGAATACTCGTAGACTGGACAAAAAGTTTTGTATGAGTGTTTGATTTATCAAAAAAAAAAACAACAATTAAGTAATTTGTTCGATAAAATTATGCAGCAAAAAAACGTTTCAAATTGAATCTGAGAAATTTGTTTAAGTCTCGTCTATGACGAATGTAGCAGAATGAACAACATAGTGATGCTCATCTGGCTTTGTACATTTGGTTAAATCTTTGAATAAAACAGAAATTAGATAGGCTGACTAATCCATATCATGTATAAACATGCATAACTATCTCATTATGAAAATAAGAACATGTAGTATTATTGTCAATGGGACAGCTTTCAACCAATCCAAATGACTGAAGCAACTATTAATCACCGTATAGCCTTCAACAATGGACAAAACCCATACCTTATAGTTAGCTATAAAATATTTCAGCATGACAAAATGAAAGTAAATTACTTGTTAACAGGATTGATAAAAGGCCGTTTTTGTTTTTCATAAATTGTCTTGTTATAAAATAGGCCGTTAGTTTTCTCAATCAAATTGTTTCATATTTTTTATGAAGAGTTATTTAATAGCCGACTATACGGTATGGGTTTTTCTTATTGTTGAAAGCCGTACGATTGCTCATAATTGCTAACATCCACTTCATTTGAACTTTGGTGGATAGTTGTCACTTAAGTAATCATACCACATCTCCTTATATTTATATAATAGTAGCGTTCGCTAATATTAAACAAGGTACACCTAAGATATATTATATATATATATATACAGCTGCAATCAATTCCATCTTCATGCCTAATATATCATGTACTGTGTTACAACTGTAGATTCTACTGACGAGGAAAGGTAACACTAGGCCACCGAAAGCTGAATTATTCAATTCAGTCTAGGTGGCCGAGTGGTCTAGAGCGATGGACACAGTGCAGGCGGTATTGTCTCGATATCCAAATAGCATGAGTTCGAATCCCGGCAAGGGAAGAAAAAAAATTTGCTTCCGCAAATTTGCAGATTTAACATTGTTGTGCTGATATTTAGAGTAGTTATGAATATAAAATATGTTATCAGCCGTGTATCACCTTCACTGGTGATCCAATGGAAGGATCCGTCGTAGAGTTGTCACTTGTTTAGACGTACTTATCAAAATAATTATTTCTGTGACAGTATCATACGATCCTTTACGATAGATATTTTGCTCATCTGCAATCAATTCCATCTTCATGCCTTATATATCATGTACTGTGTTACAACTTTAGATTCTACTGACGAGGAAATGTTACACTAGGCCACCGAAAGCTGAATTATTTAGTTCAGTCTAGGTGGCCGAGTGGTCTAGAGCGATGGACACAGTGCAGGCGGTGTTGTCTCGATATCACAATAGCATGAGTTCGAATCCCGGCGAGTGAAGAACAAAGATTTGCTTCCGCAAATTTGCAGATTTAACATTGTTGTGTTGATATTTAGAGTAGTTATGTATATATATATATATTTATATAACTCGTCTAAACATCAGTCCAACAATGTTAGATCTGTAAATTTCCTTTCGCAAATTTTTTGTTCTTCCCTCGCCGGGATTCGAACTCATGCTACTGAGATATCGTGACACCGAATCGCCTGCACTGTATCCGACGCGCTAGACCACACGACCACCTAGGCTTCACAAAAATAAAGATTTCGGTGGCCGGGTGTTACCTTTCCTCGTCAGTTTTAATCTAGCGTCGTAATAGAGTACATGATATATAAGGCATGAAGATGGAATATATTTATATAAACAAGTCTAAATTGAAAACAACGTTCAAACCTATGATTGCGTTGGATAAAAACTGCAATTTTCATACGTGTGCATGCAAAACAAATTTATTGGTAGAGGGGTCTAAATACAGCACAAACAACATTTTCCAAAAGACCAAAAAAGTGAAAAAGTATATTTAAACAAAACGCATTTGACTAACAGGTCGAACAACGGATGTTCTTAAACCCTGCTGACTGCCATTGGCGATTGCCAAATAAACGGATCACCAGATGTAACAAAATGGATCTTTACTATTAATCTAATACCAAACAGAAAACAATAAACTTGCGGAAAAGATGGTATACCGCAAACATGAGGTGCAAAAATTTGTACACCATATCCGGATTTCGACAATTAATGTCTCTTCAGTGATGTTAGGAATCGAAACGGTATTTGGAAGGCCATATAATTTACCTCAATTTAGGATAGACTCTTGAATTTTGAAGAGTCGAAATAGGATGAACGGATCATATAAACCCAATTGCAAATATAATACAAGCCCAAACGAAAAAATATAAACAAGTTTAAATTGAAAACAACGTTCAAACCTATGATTGCGTTGGATAAAAACCGCAATTTTTATACGTGTGCATGCAAAACAAATTTCTTGTTAGAGGGGTCTAAATACAGCACAAACAACATTTTCCAAAAGACCAAAAAAGTGAAAAAGTATATTTAAACAAAACGCATTTGACTAACAGGTCGAACAACGGATGTTCTTAAACCCTGCTGACTGCCATTGGCGATTGCCAAATAAACGGATCACCAGATGTAACAAAATGGATCTTTACTATTAATCTAATACCAAACAGAAAACAATAAACTTGCGGAAAAGATGGTATACCGCAAACATGAGGTGCAAAAATTTGTACACCATATCCGGATTTCGACAATTATTGTCTCTTCAGGGATGTTAGGAATCGAAACGGTATTTGGAATGCCATATAATTTACCTCAATTTAGGATAGACTCTTGAATTTTGAAGAGTCGAAAACAGGATGAACAGATCATAATTATAAACCCGAAGGCAAATATAATACAAGCCCGTACGAAAAAATATAAACAAGTCTAAATTGAAAACAACGTTCAAACCTATGATTGCGTTGGATAAAAAGCGCAATTTTTATACGTGTGCATGCAAAACAAATTTCTTGTTAGAGGGGTCTAAATACAGCACAAACAACATTTTCCAAAAGACCAAAAAAGTGAAAACGTATATTTAAACAAAACGCATTTGACTAACAGGTCGAACAACGGATGTTCTTAAACCCTGCTGACTGCCATTGGCGATTGCCAAATAAACGGATCACCAGATGTAACAAAATGGATCTTTACTATTAATTTAATACCAAACAGAAAACAATAAACTTGCGGAAAAGATGGTATACCGCAAACATGAGGTGCAAAAATTTGTACACCATATCCGGATTTCGACAATTATTGTCTCTTCAGGGATATTAGGAATCGAAACGGTATTTGGAAGGCCATATAATTTACCTCAATTTAGGATAGACTCTTGAATTTTGAAGAGTCGAAAACAGGATGAACAGATCATATAAACCCGAAGGCAAATATAATACAAGCCCGTACGAAAAAATATAAACAAGTCTAAATTGAAAACAACGTTCAAACCTATGATTGCGTTGGATAAAAACCGCAATTTTTATACGTGTGCATGCAAAACAAATTTCTTGTTAGAGGGGTCTAAATACAGCACAAACAACATTTTCCAAAAGACCAAAAAAGTGAAAAAGTATATTTAAACAAAACGCATTTGACTAACAGGTCGAACAACGGATGTTCTTAAACCCTGCTGACTGCCATTGGCGATTGCCAAATAAACGGATCACCAGATGTAACAAAATGGATCTTTTCTATTAATTTAATACCAAACAGAAAACAATAAACTTGCGGAAAAGATGGTATACCGCAAACATGAGGTGCAAAAATTTGTACACCATATCCGGATTTCGA